GCTTGCTGGGAGAAATCACCAGGCCTCTGCTAAATGCCCTTTCAGACCAGGCATCTAAGATCCACAGTGCGATAGGCAGCCTGTAGATTCACACAGCACCTTAAAAACCCTCCACGGCTTGGCTCCACTATTTGCAAATCACTTCTGATTCAATTTTGTTTTGGTTATCTCAGTGTAAATAACAGTTAAGTGGGAGTCACAGATTTTTCAAACACTAAAAGTGATAAACAAAGCTAATGGCAAATCCAGATAAGGAGGAAAACCACCCAGAAGAATCCACAAGTACAAGCAAAGAAGTAAATGGGATGGTCAGATGTGTGTGTTTCTTGTCACCAAAACTTTATTTTTCTTCATCTGCAGAGTGGCAGAAAAGTACATGTGGGGTGTTATTTAGACTGTTCCTGTTGGAGTCTTTATGATAATGGAATAATAGGTGCCCCGTGAAACAAGACCGTTTAGAATCCACAAAGCCATCCTCAGAAACAAAGATACAAGTGTTTCCCCAACTGTTAGCTTGCAGCTCCCTCTAAACAGTTTTCATACCTCCATTTAAAAATAGCTGGCATCATGCTTTTTTTTTCACCCCAAATTGTGGCCACATTTCCAAGGGGAGAAATGTGTATGTATATAAGTAGAAACCTTCATGTACCTGTACATATGGGGGGGTGGGGGGGGGGAGAGGTTGGAGGAATCCAGTTCAATGGCCTGAACAAATTCTTTGAAGTCTTTCCTCTTCTGGTAGTTTCAAGTTAGGGGCGTAGAGAAAAGTGAATCATCACCCAGAGTGAAGAGGAGTGTGTTTGGGACATAACAAAGGATCTGAGTAGTAAACGCTTGGTGTTTGGGATTTTACTCAGCCGGGCCTCTGCGTGTGTGTCGCCGCCACGCACGGCTGCCTGTTCAAACGCATGGCTGAGCTGCCGCCTCGCTCCCTACTCCAAACACCGTGCGCCACCAACGCCATTGCGCGTGGCATTGTGTTGGGTTCTACGTGTGTGGCATCGCGGTGAGGGAATTGGGGGGAACCAGGATTTCCCCCGTTTCCCGCGGAGTCTCCCTCGGGCGTCGTCGACACGGCCAAGGACAGCACGCCCGGGAGGTGCCCGGGGGCGCTCCTTCTCCGGGGCATTGCGCACGGGCGGCTCGGCGCAGCCCGAAGCGGAGGAGCCCGGGGTGGGCGGGAGATGCCGGGTGGGAGAGGGGCGGCGGGGGGGGAGCTGCCTTAACTTTGATCCGGCCGCGGCCGGGGGGAAGCCGCCGCCGCCCCGCCCG